ACGAGGCATGTACAGTCATTGCCACAGGGATTGGCAATAGAACAGAGGTGTGCTGAGAGATGTCACAACCACCCCTTCTGCTGTGCTGCTGTTTAAGAACAGGAGACCCGGGACTGGGGAGATATCTTAGTGGGTCGCCTTGTAACCACCTGAATCTGAGATGCATTTCCGGAACCTGTGTGAAAACGCTGGGGGTAGTGGTTATAATCCCAGGGCCCAGAAGGTTGAAACAGGCTGATCCGGGTGGGGCTCATTGGCCAGCCAGCATACTTTAATTGACTCACAGGAAGAGGTTGAGGGCTGCCAGCAAGTGGGTGTGGCCAGACATAGTGCCTAGGGCTTTACTACCACAAGGGGCAGAAAGTGGTAAATTTTGTTTCCTTTTGTTTTGGATAGTGCTAGGAATTCAACTCCGGCCAGCGCATGCAAAGAAAGCACTCCACCACGGAACTATATCCCCAGTCCCTCATTTAAAAAAAACAAAAACAAAAAACAAAAAAACCAGAATAAGATGATAGGTCGAATTCAGCCAGGCACAGTCGCAAAAGAATAAATACGCAGCCGGGACTGGCTGCAAGCTCACTGTCATCCTCCTGTCTCAGCCTCTGGTGGTGGGATTACAAGCAAGTGCCACCACACCCTGACATTGGTTATCTGCAGAACAATGGCCTGCCTGCGATGCCCAGAGCAGGGATCTCTGCTCTCTTTGTCCAAGCCCACCAAGAGCAAGACAGGAATGCCTGGCCAAGGGCGTGCATAAGAAACCAGGGTGCCTCCGGTTGCGGCGCTGGGCGGGGCGGGGCGGGGTGGGGCGGGGTCAGCGGCCACCACCTCTGTGTTCAGTGTCCTTCGGGGAGCAGCCAGCAACTACGTGAGTGGGGCTGCGGATGGGTGAGACCCCGACAGCGGGGAGACAAAAGGGAAACTGAGGCCAGCACCAAGCAGGAGGGACTCCTCCCGCGAGAGTGTGCAGCTCAGGGTGGTTGGCACCCTGGGGACAGCGGCCAAGGTCCTGCGCCTCGGTGGGGACCGGCTAGGTTGCTGCTGGCGGCAGCTGGGCGCAGAAGGGAGGGGGCCTCTGGCTGTTGGCAATCCTGCTTCCCTTGCGGGGGAGCACTGGGATCCGTGGGCAGCTGAAGCTGTGCAAAGGTTCACACTCGCAGAGGGTAGGAGTCAGGACTTTTTGATGCCAAAGCCTACTTCCCCTGCATGCACAGTGTGGCCGCCTCTCCTGCGCAGTGATGTGTGCACTCGCACACTGCGTGCGCACATCTGTGCCTGGCCATGGCTGGACTGAGACCCGCTGGCCTTCAGAAACTGCCGAAAGTGGGTACCTGACGGGTGGGATCGATAGACAGCAGGCTTGTTTTTCACTCTCTCTATCCTTCAGCTTTTCCCTGATCGGACTTTTCGGCTTCTTCTGTTTGCGTCCCCCTTGTTAGGGGTTATGCAAGCGGCGCCTGAAAGCCTGCTTTGTATGAAAAAGTTGCCACTCGGCAACGCCATTTCCCCACACCCCAGATCTCCTGAGGACCAGTTCCTGCCGGTCCTAACCGACCTCTTCCTGACACCGTGATTACTTTCAGAATGAGAAAGGCTGGTGAAAGGTCTAATGAGGATTTGCAGGCTCCTTAGGAATAAAAAGCCCTAAAATTCTTCAGGACAGCAACGGATCGCTGGAAGGGGAGCTCAAGGATGGGGAGGAGCTTCAGGCAGTGGAAGGAAGAGCTGGCGCCCTTCTGTTTCTGGGTCACAGTCTCTGGGGAAGCCCCAGAGCAACAGGTGCCCCAGACCCACTGGCTCTGTCCTAGCTTCACAGACTGGGACATTGATGCCCCTGAGGAGCTCTGATGCCCCACAGTAGTCTGTGGTTGCCTAGCCAGGAGTGAAATACTACAGAGGCTGCCGACTCCAGACTCGATGAGGGAGGGCTCAGGCATCCTATCTGTCTGTCCTACGAAGAGATGGGGTCCGAGGCTCCACGGAGTGATAGCGCCAAGGGATGGAGAGGGTGGCACTGTTGGCCTGAGACCTTTCTGACACTGGGAAGAGAATAGTGGCTGCCTGTGGGTCTGATCCTTGCCCAGGGTGCTATATTCCAAGCAGAGCTGACAAAGTGGCCGTGTGTCACTGTGGGCTTTAGAGACACAGACCTGGAATGTTCTACAATCTCCCGGGCCTCAGTTTCTTCACCTGGCAAGGGCACTAGTACCCTCTGGGTACTGAGCAGGTTGTGTGGATTAAAGAGAGGTGGCTGACCCCTGCTTTGTGGCCACTGTGAGGAACACAGGAAGCTTTGACAAGGAGAAGGAGGAGCACTGAGCAGTTTGTGATGCCTTGGTTCATTCCCCCGAGTCCTGGAGTAGTGAAAGTAGAGATGCCTACAAAAATGGTCTGCTCTCAATTGTCCTACACCCTCTGTCCAAGGTGCTCTCCAGAGGTGGAGGGGTAGTCACTTCCTCTCCTAGAGGAAGCAGTTGAGTGGTCCCTGCAGATAGCCACAGCCCTGTGTGGAGTTTTCGGGCGAGATCTTGGTGTCCGGACTTCCTTCCTGGAACATCCCAAGGCCCCCTAGTAAGCTAGTAGTAGGGTGAAGTTTAGGATGCTGTGTGCCTTCTGGAGAGACTGAACTAAAGGGTGAGCAGACGGCTCTGCCCACTCTGAGCATTCCTGCCCTGTCCCCTATACCCTCCCGGGACTCCACCCTGGCCTGGTCTCCTACCCAGTTCAGCCTAGCCCAGGGTGACTCAGCTTCATGGGCCCCACCCCTGCCTGTCTGCCACCCCTCCAGGCGGGTGACTCAGGAACTGGGCAGTCTCCAAGAGGCCCCTGGAAAGGTCCCTGGCCCAACTTTCTCCTTCAGTCTCAAGTGGGACGGGTGACTGTCTTGTTTTGTGACCTTGGATGGGAATAGGGGTCCTGTCTCTGATCTCCTCAGGGCAGCTGAGTATAAACACAGCCTGGCCTTTTGGGGGACAGCTGGAGGATGGCAGCAGGAACCTGGGGTTCAGTGTCCTGTCCCCAGATCCTGTCCTCATGGTACGCCCTTGGGATAGATAGCTACCACCCTTTTCTGTATAGTGGATGGATAATGGGAGACTTGCGGACTCTGAAATCCATCAGTAGAGACATTGGTTGATCCTGTTTGGGACTTCATAGGCACAGAGTTGGGTCTGCCCTCCACATGCTGGGTGCTGTGACAGGAGCACTTTTGTCTGCAGAGCCTTGTTGGGGTCCACAGAGGTTTCCTAGGGAGATCTGAACTTGCTTTACCCAGCAGGACTGTATAAGGGGATGGCTTGACCACGTGTGTGGTTACCAAGTGTTTGGAAGGGGCTGCACTTGGCTGTCTTTTGCTCCACCCCTTGGCGTTCCAATAAAAGCCCTTTAGCAGAGCCAGAAGGGGCTGGTGGGTTTTGATCCAGGCCCTCCTGAGGCTATCCTGTGTTTCTATCTGTCTCTCTCCCTCTGTATTTCCATCTAAGTATTTCTCACTGCTCCCTCCTCAAGAGTACCCTGGGAGAAAAAGTGGGAGCAGGTCCCCCACAGAGCCTACAGAGAGGAAAGAGGTACTGCTCCAGGTGTGTGTGTGTGTGTGTGTGTGTGTGTGTGTGTGTGTGTGAAGGCTGGCAAACCTCTAAGTCGGGGTTCTCAGGAAGGAAGCCAGCTACACAGGCTCTTACCTGGTAAGGAATATCCAGAGAAGGTGCTGAGGGACCTAAGGGGGGGTTCCTGGTTGTGGGGAGGGGCAGGGCTAGGTTGGAGCAAGGAGCGACTGCCAGCAGCCGTTGGTTTCTTCGTGGGAGATGGACATGTTTGGAACTTGGTGTTGGCCGGAAGATCGTTAGTTTAAATTTGGGGAGTTTCATCTCAGCTAATGAAACATGCTAATGGTGGTGGTAGTTCTTCCTGTAATCTGAGCCACTGGGAAGTTGAGGCAGGAAGACTACTATCAGTTTGAGGCTAGCCTGGGCTACATAGTATCTTTGTGCCCTAAAAAGAGAGGATTAAAAAGAGAGGAGAGGAAGCCACAGTGTAAGCCAGACCACAGTCGTGCAGGTCTGTAATCCTAGCACTCAGGAGTTAGGAGGCTGAGGCAGGGGGATCATGCATTCAAAGGTTAGCCTGGGCTACAGAGTGAGTTCTAAGCCAACCTGGGCTCCTGTCTTAAACAAAACAAAACAAAACAAAACAAAAAACAAACAACAACAAAACCAATAGAAAGCCCTGACAGGGGTCACCCAGGTCTGAGAGCAGGAGTGATACTGTGAAGAGGTCTTGACAACAGGAGGAACAGTGACCTCCAGCAGGGACAGTGGTCCTCTCCTTCCTCCTCCCTCCTCCCTCTGCCCCTCTTATTAAAGCAGAATCTCACTGTGTATCCCATGCTGGCCTAGAACCCACAATCCTCCTGCCTCGGCCCCCCAGTGCTGAGGGGCTGCAGGATGCACCGTGCTGGCGGGACAGTGCAGTTTCTAGTGCAGACTTTGACAAATGCAGATCTAACGGCCCCGCAGGTCCCATCCACTTCCCTCTTTCCCCAGGTCGCATCTCAGACCCCCAGGCACCCCCTCAGACCCCCAGGTTCTCCCCTCCATACAGCTTCTCAGCCAGGGTTGACCTCCAGAAGTTGCCACCTTCCCACCCAGGTGGGCCCACCCTGCTTCCTGTCGCTCATCCTCTGCAGTTACCTGTACCCTCCCCTCCCCCCAAAAAAGATTATGTTAAAAACAGTCTTCAACTCATTAAAAAATGTCCTCTAAGCCATGACTCAGATGATGGGTCATCCCAGCTACACAGGAGCCTGGCGCAGGAAGTCCTCACATTCAAGGTCTGTCTGGGCTATCCTAGTTTACTTTCTTTCCCTCAGTGTCTCTCTCTGTCTCTGTCTCTGTCTCCGTCTCTCTCATTCTGTGTGTGAGATGCACTTGTTTGTGTTTGGGTGTGGAGGCCAGAGTTAATAGCTGTCCACTTTTTTTTTTTTTGGTTTTTTGAGACAGGGTTTCTCTGCATAGCTTTGGACCCTGTCCTGAATCTTGCTCTGTAGACCAGGCTAGCCTCCAACTCACAGAGATCCGCCTGGCTCTGCTGGGATTAAAGGCGTACATCACCACTGCTCGGCCTATAGCTGTCCACTTTATTTGCTGAACCCAGAGTCTGCCAATTCCAGCTAGTCTGGCTGGCTTGCTCTGGGAACCCCATCCCTGACTCCACGGTGCTGGGATTACAGGTGGGTCACCATACTCACCCAGCATTCATATGGATATTGGGGACCCAAACTCCACTTTTCACACCTACACAGCAAGTGCTTGACCTACTGAACCACCTCCCCAACATTGCATTCTAATCTAATGCAAGCAGACACCCCACTTTTCCAGCTACTGTCAGTGTAGGTGTTAGTGGGAACAATTTTTTGATGGGGAAACTGAGCCCCAGTCAGGGTACTGACTGCCTTAGTACTCCCACAGAGAGCAGAGACAGAGTGGGGCCCTGGACTTCCACACTAGGGTCCCCCATTCTCTAACTGACAAGAGTCTTGACTCCAGCCCAGAGATTGGCTGCAGAGGGCCCGAGACCAGCTGTAAGACATGGAAAGATTGCTGGGACCCAGTCTTAAGTGTTTTCCTGAGTGTCTGTGTGAGCCTAGCTTTGTGAACAGGGCAGAGCCTGGCCTAGAATGCTGGGTGAAACCTCTGAGCAGGGGTATGAGTGTGAATGGAGGTGGACTCTGCTCTCCTGCCTCACCCATCAGGAATAGGTGGGCTGGTTGATCCTGGGGGACAGGACCTCAGAGGAGCTGAAGGCAATGCTGGGCTGTTCCCCATGGTTCTTTTGAACTTCTCCCACTCACCCTGTGTTCTCTTTCAGATCTTTCCAGAACAGCAGTTGCAGTAGCTATGGCTCCATCCTGGGTGCCCGCTGTGGGCCTCACTCTGGCACCCAGCCTCGGGGGCTTCATGGGCTCCTACTTTGTGCGTGGTGAGGGCCTCCGCTGGTATGCTAGCCTGCAGAAACCCTCCTGGCATCCACCTCGCTGGACACTGGGTCCCATCTGGGGCACGCTGTATTCAGCCATGGGGTAGGTGGTTGCAGGTGCCACCTTGCAGTGCCCTGTTCCCCGTGGCATCAGGCTGGGCATTGAACCTCTGTGCAGAGGGAGGCCCCAGGACAGAGTGGCATCATTTCCCCCATGGGAAGGGGAGGGTGGCAAGGCTGCCAACTTATGCATTGCAAGATTGAACTTTTTCCTGCTTGCCTCTGGGAACCCAGCCTGGGCTCACACTACTGAGGCTGCCCCATGTATAAAGGTCAGTGTGGACAACAGCACCATGTGCCAGGACAAACAGGTGGCAGCTATGTCCTTTGGTTGTACTGTACAGAACCAGACGCTGGTGCGGTTCATTCCCAGAAGCCCTCTGCAGCCATTGCCTCATGACCCCAAGAGCCTGCATGACCAAGCTGCCACTTGCTTGTCCCCTTACCCCAGCCTTCGTCCTGTAACTACACACTGACTAGGGTCTCAATTCAAATCTCCATAGCAATCTTAGTAGAGACAAAGACCCAGAGAGGGCAAGCAACTTCTCTGAGATCACACAGAAGTCAGTGGCAGGGCATACCCGAGCCATCACCGAGTGGTCTCAGGAAGGTAGCACTCTTGGCCTTGCCCTGTGATGTCCTGACCCATTGTCTGTTTCAGGTATGGCTCCTACATGGTCTGGAAGGAGCTGGGAGGTTTCACAGAGGAAGCCGTGGTCCCCTTGGGTCTCTACACTGGCCAGCTGGCTCTGAACTGGGCATGGACCCCCATCTTCTTTGGTGCCCGGCAGATGGGCTGGGTAAGTGTGGCCACAGCTTGACTCCTGGGTCACTGGAGATGGTCCTGGGAGAACAGGTGATATCACATCCCAGATGACGTCAGTATCTGCAGGTGGCAGGGGAGGCCTGTGGCTTGCGGCCCCTTTAGAAGTTCCGTGAGTCAGGTGCAGTGGGGCCCCTGGAGTCTCAGCTCTCAAGAGGGTGAAGTGGGAGGATCAGTTGAGCCCGGGAGAGGGCTAGGCCAGCCTAGGTGACAGTGACCTGTGTACTAACGCCGCCTCAGTCCATCTTCCCTCCATGAGGAAAGTCCAGAGGGCCAGGCTGAAGTGGGTGGGGCTATGGTCTTGGGTTTAGAAGCCACGGCAAGAGACACCAGCATCACATCTGATGCTGTGCATGATGACACTTGGGGACAAAGCCTCTCCTTAAAAATGTTCTTGTTCAGGTTTGGTGATACATGCCTGGCCTGCAGTCCCGGCAGAGGCAGGAGGATTGCTTTAAGTCTGATACCCTGGTTTACAAAGCTAATTCAAAGCTAAGACTACATAGTGAGACCTTCTTGAAAAAAAAAAAAAAGTTATTGCCGAGCCTGTGACATGCACACCACAGCAGTCTGACCCCCTCGCACCGGCCTCTCGGGTCAGCACTTGACAACATTGTATCTTCAGGTCGGAAGTCTTCCAGCCGCTGCTTCACCCTTGGACATGCTGTGTCCCCTGGGGGCTGTCATACACAGGGCTGTCTCCATGCATGGCACAGTCAGGCAGGGACTTACAGACAAGGAAAACTGAGGCTGAGAACAGAGAGCAGGGGCCGCCATCACACCTCAGGGGTGCAGTTAGGGCGAAGCGAGACGTCCAACTTCTAGACCCAGCAGGGTCCTAGCCTCCCCACCTCCTGTCTCTGCAGGCCTTGGCAGACCTTGTGCTTGTCAGCGGGGTTGCAACCGCTACCACCCTCGCCTGGCACCGAGTGAGCCCGCCAGCTGCCCGCCTGCTTTACCCCTACCTGGCCTGGCTGGCCTTTGCCACCGTGCTCAACTACTATGTCTGGCGTGATAACCCTGGCCGGGGAGGTGGCCCACGGTTCCCAGAGTGAGTGCACCTTTACCCATGAGGACCATAGCACTGCCGGCCAGGTACCATGGATGGTAGCCCATCATGCTTTTATGACCACTGGGCCCGCCTGGTCTACCTGGGTCTTGCTTGGCCCAGGGAGCCACCAGGTGGGTCAAGGTGGTCAGTGCCAAGTCCCATCCAGGGACAGTTGTACCTGCCTTTCTGCACTGCTCCAGGCATGCCCTAGGAACATGGGGCTTTTAAAGCTAAATAAAGTCTTTAACTTCACGTATCATAAACTCTGTACTTTGTGGGGCACCTGGTCTGTGGGACAGCAGAGGCTATGGCCATGCAGCATGGCTCTGCTGCTGAGGCTGGGCCTGTCTGGGCTGCATCACCCAGCTTTTCCAGCCTAGGGTGGCTCGCCAACACGCAACTTGCAGGAAGCGGGTGTTGAGTCCTAGCACCAGAGACGGGGCCATCTTGCTGGTCCAGGCCCGCCTACACCAGGAGCTGTCACCTACCCCTCCCTAGGGCTCCATTTGGGTGACCTATAACCACTTTAGGCAGCAGTTGGGAGACAGGACAAGGTGCCTTTCACACAGGCACTGTCTCAGCCCCCACCCTGCTTTCACATGCCTCATGGGTATATATGGTCCCCACAGGGCACCCATGCCGGACACTTTTAGGGACAATGCACCTGAGGCTTGGAGGGGCTTTCATTGTCACACATGCAGGCCACACAGCCCCAGCAGCGCTCCACAGCACGCTACCTGCAGGCCACAGAGCAATTCTGCTCAAATGGGGGTCATCTGCCACCTACACATGTGCTTCCCCAGTCTACCACTAGAGGCACCCGTCTATGCTGCCATTAGCAGTCATCACAGTAGCTTCTGCAGCCTTTAATGAGAAGGGCACGCTGCATCTGCTGGTTTAAATCACTCCCTGGTCTGTGCTCCTTCCTGCAGCAGGGGCCTCAAACCTTCACATTCATGTCCCCAGCCAACTGACGACAGAGGGGCTGGGTGGCCACCCGTCAGCAGGGAAGCCATGTTGACTCAGTTCTGAGAGGGTTGTCAGTTTGTGGTCAGCACCTGGCATCTCCCTGGAGCCTGAGCAAGGGCCAGAGTTCTGCCTCCTGCTTCCTTCTTGAGCAGCATTGCTGTGACCGCCTGGGCTCTCCGGCCAACTCCACGTGCCTAAGGTGGGCAAGTGCTGGTCTTTGGTGACCCCTTAAACAGAGAAAGCCATCAGGATGTGGATGTCTCTCCAACTGGCTGGTGGCCAAAGCTGAGGTTGCTGTGCCAACTGGAGCATGTGGGAAGAGAGCCTGACTGCTTTAGAAAATTTTTAAATTATATTGTATGGTGATATTTTATTTGTGCTGAAATGTGGTTTTATTTGTATGTTAATAAAGTTGCCTGGGAGTTGCCTGGGGGGTCAGAGCTAATAGCAAGCCATTTAGCAGAAGTCTGGCAGTGGTAGCATACGCCCTTAATCCGATCACATGGCAGACAGAGTCTGTGTGTTCAAGGACATAGCCAGCTTGGTGACACACGCCTTTAATCCAAGTACTAACCATAGAGACCTGGAGGTCTGTATAGACAGGCAGTGACAAAGAAGTCATGTGGTTGAGTTTAGAACCAATGAGAAGGCAGAACAGAAAGTCAATAAAAAATACAGACGCACAGGAAGTAGGTCTCTTTCTCAGGGGAAGGATGGCAGTGGCTGGTAAGCTAAAGGTTATTCACTAGTGCCCTGACCTCTCGGGCTTTTAACTCTTTATTTGGCTCTGTTTCTTATTTAATAAGACTGTTTAGAATTACAATCTACAATACTGTGTGTACATGCATGCCCACTCATATGTACTATGGTGGACACATGGAGGCCAGAGGACAACCTGTGAGAGTTGGTTCTCTCCACCATGTAGGACCTAGAGAGGCCTTCAGGCTTGGCAGCAGGTGCCTTTACCTGATGAGCCATCTTGCTGGTCCTCTATTGAGGGCCATCCCCGTGGGACCGCTGAACAAATGCCCTGGCATCTCAAGCATTTGTCCTGAAGGGCACAGATGACCCCTTGTTGGGTGGCTGCTCAGAAGCAGTGTGGTCTTGGCTCTGGGCTCAGTCTTGCTCCTGGGACAAACATGGTGCCACTCAGTAGGGCCTGTGTCCTTCATCAGCCCCCATACCCTCTTGACCACCCCATGAGTCGGGGCCTCTCATTCCCACCCCAGAACAAGTAGACAAGACAGAGAAATGTCACTTCCCAAGACCACCAGGTGGGCCAAGCCTTAGGCCCTATGAAGGCCAAAGCCCCCGAGGGTTGGAGTGTAGACAGCACAGGTCAGAGCTCTTCTCCAGCTTGGAACTAGGACTGTCACTGAGAAGTCGAAACGGGTGAGGGAGCTGGGAGGTCCACTGGCCTTGTCTTCTCTCATTTCTCAAAAGCACTCACGGTGGCATGGTGGGTTCTGCCCACACCAGTGGGGACACCGCTGTCATGCCAGCCCAGGCCTGTGCCTCCAGGGCCCCAAAGAGGAAGGACCAGTGAAAAGGAGACATATTTTATTGCAGTATAAAAGGTCAGGGAGGCCAGCAGCTCTCCAGAGATAAAACCACAGGTGTCGGTCCTGCCCCGGCAGTGGCTGGACCCAACATGGATCACCAGGCTCGCTAGCGGGTGGCCCACCTGCCCAGGATGGGCAGGAAGAACCATGTCCAGTTATGCTAAGAGGGTCACTTTTACCTTCAAAAGTGCGACAGCCGCTGCCACAGCGCTCCACCCTCCTGAGCGGCAGATCACCTTGGAGGCAGCTCCCACCCACTCTAACCAGACCCACTTACTAGTGGGCTGGACCCGGGTGCCCGCAGTTACAGAAACAATGGCGGCTGACATTCAGATTCCAGTAACAAAATGAGGAACTAGATTTTACATTTTCTTTCTGTAGGTTAAAAGAAACACACACACACACACACACACACACACACACACACACACACACACACACACATTTGGACTCTAGGCCTTGGCAAGAGGCAGCCTGGCTGACTTCCACAGGAAGTTCTCCCCAGAGCCATCCGAGCGGCCCTGGCATTTCCACTGTCACCCGTGTCTGGGGTCTGCCATGGAGCCTCACAACTCCAGAGCACCCTGACCACCTCAGCGGAACTCGGTGAGATGCCGGCATGCAGAGATCAGCTTCCCATAAGGGAAATACCAAGCCTGGCCTGGCTGGGAAGTCTGCTGGTGAAGGCTCTGGTGAAGGCGATGCCTAGGCATAAGGCTAGGTTGGCAAATGTTTTCCCCTGGCTGTTCTGGGGCCTGCGGGTACAATACAGGGTACTGATACCCTGTTTACAGCAGCCATGGGAAAGGAGGGCAGAGATTCTGGGAGAGAACTCCCTGGCCTTGCTGGATACGGGGTTCCCAAACACTTCCCTGCGGAACCCTGTTTCTGCGGAACACCTTTTTCTCTGTACGAAAACTCTGGGTGTACCCAGGCCTGCGGACATCACTTACTGTCCAGCTCTGCCACATGGTATGGACCTGATGTCCCACATAAGAAGCAGGAACATGGCTCAGAGGGTAGAGCCTAACTGAGGCCAAGGCTCTGGCTGGGGAGGGAAGGAGGGAAGAGGGAGGAAGGGGAGGAGGGAGAAGGCTGGGCCGGCAGAAGCAGCTCCATGAGCAGGGGCTGGAACCAGCTATGAGCACAGGCAGGAGGGCTTTGGGCACCTAGATGATGCGGGTCACGTGACAGCCGTCGGTCTCATCCAGAAACAAGGTGCTGAAGACATCGTTGAAGAACGTGGGGTGGTATCTGCAGGCTCGCTCACAGTCGGGGTTGAAGTTCACCTCCAGGATCTGGGGCTGCATCACCCGCTTTCCTGGTGGCGAAACCGAGAGGTAGGAAGACTGAAGGTAGCAAGGTCGGGGTACACTCTGTCTTGGGAAACTGTGGGACGGGGACTGAGATGCAGGGCACAGACTTAGGCCCCAATTCTCTGTGTGTGGGTACAGGGTGTGATTTGGAACATGGATTTCCTGGCTTGACACCTGTTCCCCAAGACTGGAGCTACTCCTAACCTCATTACCCTTAGGGCAATGAACACACATCGCTTCAAGCTTCGATGACCAGTTTGGTCGGAGAGCAGCATGCAGGGCTGGGAGCAGCTCCAGCTCTCCTGTCCTATGAGTTCTCACGGCCCCCAGTCAGCTACCTTCCCCCTGCTTTCTGATGCAGGTGTATTCCCTGTCTCAGTGGATCAGCCAGGATACCCATGCTGGACCACCTGGGAAATTTCTCTGTGAAAAGACAGCCACGGGCTGGAGAGATGGCTCAGCAGTTAAGAGCATTTGATGTTTTTGCAGAAGACCTGGATTCAGTTTCTAGAATCCACATGGTGGCTTACAATCATTCTTAACTCCAGTTCCAGGGATCCTGTGTCTTCTGACTAATCAGGATACCAGGCATGCACACAATACACACATACCACAAACACAGTACACGTACACACACACACACACACACACACACACACACACACACACACACACACACTCAAACACATAAAACATAACACAACAAAAGTCAGCTGCTGGCAGGGACAGGAGGACTGGTCAGGGGGTTTTGGTGTGGAGAGAGTCCCCTTACCACCTGGATGGCTATCCCACTTGAGCATGAGGTCAACAGCATATACGGCCCGGGATGAAGGGTAGTCGCAGAGGCCCATGGGGGGTGGCTTGGCACATGCCACTTGGAACAGCTCTGTGAAGGCCTTGAAGATCTCAGCCTGGGGACAAGGAATGCTCTATCACAGGGCGTACTCAAAGTCAGTTCCTGACTTTGGAACTAAGAAGGCCCACTGTCTTTGTCTGAGTCCTGTCATCCAGGTCATCTCAGGCCCAGGTCATCTCTCTTATATTCTTAATGTCTCTAGGCTTGGCAAGATGGCATGTCTGCCTGTCCCCACACTCCTGGAGTCCATTCTGCTTTGCATTAAGGAGCCCAGAACTTCATGAATTCTAGGCAAGCATTCATCTCCAAGCCATGCCCCAGTGCAGGAATCTACCTCCAGCAAATCTGCTGATTGCCTATCCTATGACTAGCCCCCCAACACTCCCTGTGGCCCCAAGGGCTTGGATTTCTGGGGCTGGTGGAGACTATTGCTCTTGGGCTACCTTAGGATGCCCCAAATTCCCTCGTTCCTGCTGAGAAACATTCTGAAGAGCCTCCTCGTGCACCATACACAGGCCCAGAGTGCAGGGAGGGAGGGAGGGATCTCAG